ACTCTCAATTTTTTCTGGACAAGGAAAGAGAAATTGATCCCCATTACCTGGAGTCTTCTTTCCCCTTGTTCACAAAGCTGTAAGCTGCAGAACTCTAAAACTGTTTAACAAATACTTAAAGAATAAATGTTTGAAGGAGCACCAATTATTAATCCACCCACATGACCCATTTATTATTCTCCCTGAGTGCCTTCAAGTCTTCATCTGGCCCTGCTTCTGATCATAAATTACAAAACCTTTGCTATAAAATCCTGTGCCACCTGGACTACCGTATCACCTGGAGCAGAAGTCATGTCAGCATTCCAATCCATTAGGCTATCTATCTTTCTGTCTCCCAGCCCTCATTCTTTCTCATCCAAGAGATCACAAGTGCAGAGAATGGTTTTCTTTTTCATGATTAGTACCAGAGCATTATGTAGTACCCGAGTAGTATGTAGTAGTAGAAAGTCAATTGGTAAAATCATTACCCAGGAGATATAGTTATGCATCCTGGTTCCACTATTTGCTTGATGTGTTACTTAGGGAAACTTTTTAGACTCTGAGCTTGTCTCTTTCATCTACAAAGCCGGAAAATAGCATCTATTTCAAGGTTTGATGTAAAGGTGAAGTGAAATAACATTCAAAACAGATCCTGGCATGGAGCATCTGCTCAAAAAATGCTCGTTTGTTTCTTTAAATTGTAGCTAAAGATTTATTCTAGAAATATAATGTTATATTTTTGAGTATTTTATAGTTTTCACAAAGAACTTTTACCTATATTACTGCATTTGTTCCTTATGACAATCTGTGAAAGAAAAAATATGAGCCCTGTCTTACAGATAAGGAAACTGGCTATCACAATGATTAAATGGTTTACCCTCAACTACACAGTGTCAAAGCTGAAAGAGAAACATATTTCTGTTGATTTAAAATAGTTTCCATTCCTACTACATCATATTAACACTTAAGAAAGTCTCATTACATTAGGCAGTGGTTTTAAACCTAGTTTTGCTCTTGTTTATGTCACTTAATACCTATAATTATGTTTCCTCATCTGTTAAATAAAAGAGCAGAACTAGGCAACCTCTTGGCTCTTTCCCAGAGTTTGAATTGTTAGTTATATAGTTCTAATTCTGAGCTAAAACTAAACTAAAACTCTCCCAACTTCCACAGCGTCTGAAATACTAAGGCTAATAATATTTTTCTTACTTAGCACAAAGAATTACTCATGGATAATTCTCTTTCCTTCCTTAATCACGTTACTTCCCTAAATGGTCTTTCCCTAAGCATAACTAGATGAACCTCAAAACAGTCATATGGGAATGTGTAATTGTGTGATGTAACAATATTAAAGCAATTCATGAAGTTTTCCCAGACATTTTATTTTCTATTCCCATAAAGTTCTTTGGTCTCAATTAAAAACAGAGAACTGAAAATTGGAACTGCCAGAATGTAATGTTATCATAAATTACTATATACACTAAGTCACTCATAAAACTTTCATGCTTAATACATTCTCTCCAACTGATAATTGTGTCCTGTTCTTTCCCAAAATTAACATGAATAGAACATAAAATATCACCTTTTTCATCCCAACGGCTTTGGCTTCTCTCTTCATGTACAGCCTTTTAAAAGAAAGGGAATAGAACCATATGACAAACCAAGCACTGGACTGTGAAAATTCTCTTTCCTTCCTTGGCTAATGGCATCACCCATTTATTTGCAGGTTGGGAAACTTGCACTATTGGTCTCACTACCTCACCTACCCTCAAATATTTCCAAATTTGACTTGTCTCTACAATATCTCTTAAATCTGATGGCTTCTCTGCACCACCCATGCCTTAGTCTCTTGTTTGGACTACTGAATTCATTTCTACCAGGTCTTGTTGCCAGGGTTGCTCACACCTTCCTTTCTCCATGGGATCTTCTTAAAACACAAATTAGTTGTTTCCCTGCAGTATTTAAGATCCTGCATTGTTTTTTTCTTATGAACTGTTGCCTTGGAGGTAACGACGAAAACTCTTAGAACGTAGTGTGTTCGTGATTTGGTTTTAGGACCCTTCTCTTCAGTTTTATATTTGGACTCCAGTACTGTATTCTTTATGAATGCATCAGTCATACAAAATTACTCTCAAGAACCCATGTCTTTGCATGTTTTTCTTGTTCCCTGTTTCTGCAAAGCTCTCCATGGCTGCCTCCTACCATGGAAAACCCATGCTCACCCTTTTGCTGCAACTCAGGTATCAGCTGTCCTGAGAAGATTCCTCTGATATTCCTTTCTACCCATGCAGAATTAAGTATCTTATCTCTATGATACCATAGGTTTTGTGCAAGTGTCTTTTGTATGATTTCTGTTGCACTTTAATTAGTTTTTTGCCTGTCTGTATTTCTTATGATACTGTGAGGTCTTGAGCCTGTATCTGAATTATTTTATCTCCCCCAGCCAACAATATGCCTAGTGCCTGTTAGGGTGTTAATAAGCATTTATTGAATGAGTAACAAATGCAAAAGTTTAGTATTGACCTCAAACATATATTGAGTATTTATGCTCATTTCTGTTTCCTAAATCAAAGAAAGTCAACAATGTCGGTGACTTAAAATAGTTGTCATGAGAGATGTAAATGATGAGGAGAACATTAATTAATAATCCGAGACACAAACAGAACAGGACTTTGAGATAATGTACACAACTAATGACCAACTAAGTGCTTTAGACAGTAAGTGCTGTGAATTCAGTAATAGAGAGTATTTGGTGAACTGGAGGGATTTGGTAAAGGTTTTTGAGCCTTAAAAGGTATCTAAAATTTGAGAGCCAAAGAGGAAAGGAAAAAGCATTGGGAAAATTATGATCAAAGTCACAGAGAGAGAAGAGGGTAAAAAGAGTCCCTACAATGCTAATTTGACAAATTTGACAAATTATGCTAGACTGAAAAATTAGGATTAGAATGTAGCTACATTTTGCATGGCTCTGTATGCCATGCTGAAAATCATAGTTCATGTCTGGAAGGCAGGGGAAAGCCATACTAATGCATTTGGGTAGGGAATCATTATAACATAAATTGTGTTATTGGAAGAAAATCTTTGGGTGGGGAAACTGCCAGAAGGCTACTACTGAAATATTTCAGGATCTGTCCTAAGGTGGAGATGGTGAAAATGTATAAAAAAGACTGTAGGAGAATTAACAGAGTTAGTGTCTGATTAGACATGGGCTATTGGTTAAAGAATAAAAACAAACAAGCTTTAAACTAGGATGATGAAGTAATAGTGGTAATGTTAAAAATAACTAGTATGTGTTGAGTACTACAGTGTACTAGATACTTGATGTATTTTTAAAATTTTTAAAATTTAAAATTTTGGCAATTTTCTATTATTTGTTATTTTATTTGCATTTTTTATTTTTAATTTATTTTTAATTGATATGTATTGATTGTACATATTTATGTGTAAAGAA